GGCCATTGTCTTAGAGTAGGATATAAACCAGATCATTATGTTAAGCTGTAAGACAATTGATTTGCTTACATATACCATGCTATTGTAGGTATAGTGATTATTTATTTGATTCCTTCTTTATTATTTTTACAAATGTTTTATTAAGCCAGGCTTAGACTGGTACCCTGTCTTTTTGAAACTAGTGTACTAAATAAACAACACAACAGTATCATGTTATGATAGGTAAATGAGCACATTGCATCACTATGAAGAAGAATTGTATCTGAATAAAAAGTGGAGAACAGAAGAGTGTGTAATTGAAATGTATCGCTACAATTTTTTGCGGAACTGATATAAAAAATACAATATATTAACTCCATATTATAGCAACTGACCCCATGCTCTATATCCGTGAGGGCGAACCTGTGCCACATGTGCTACAGGTGGCACACGGAGCCATATTTTCTGGCACGCCAGCAGTCAGCTTCGGTGCACATGTGCATGCCGACCAGCTAATTTTCGGCCTTCTGGAGGGCCGGGAGGGGCATTTTCACTCTCCCGAGGCTTCAGGAAAGCCTCCGGAGCCTGGGGAGGGATTGTGCATGCATGTGCGGGGGTGGTTGCACATGCATGTGCAGGTGGGCAGGGACGATTGAATTGGTGTGGGCACGTGCAGGCACAATCTTGGCACGCCATAAGGAAAAGGTTCACTATCACTGCTCTATATGTATATTTGTGCTGTTATCCCGATGCTAACTCAGATGAATACTTTCATGGCCTTTTCATTCTCAGCATTCTTTGTAAAACTAAAAGCACAGCTGAAGGTTATATTTGTCTATGTATACCTTTCTTCAGGAATAGGGGGATTAGATTCCAAAGGCAGAAACACGGCTGTAGGTTCTTCTGTTGTGGAGATGTTTTGGTTTTTGATGTCTAATGGAGGAGTAAACAGACTGGAGACATTGAAGTCGATATCTTATGGAAAAAAGAAAAATAAATGCATGAGACAGTCTGAGTGTCTGGAAGCTATTATAATGTTCTGCACTTCTCTCTAGCAGCAGAAGGTTCACCTTTGATTCCTTCCACCTCTTTTCATAAGATTTATCAGTGCTCTAATAAAGAATAGTCAATTCATGCCAAATCAAGAACAGACAGCTTAGTTAAAAGTCAGAAGCCTGTGACTCTTCCCTCTAAAACCCTTAAAAGTTAATGCCACAATCTAGGTCTTTAAATTGCTAAAATACACTATTTGTTCATTTATCTACTTTTTGATTAAGAAAGCACTTCCCATCTAGGATCTAGGTTTAGCTCTAGAGAAATGTGGCTGGAATACCATGATGGCCAGTGGTGGGTTCCTACCAGTTTGGACCGGTTCGGCCAAACCAGTAGTGGTTTGGCAGTCTGGGTCACTGGAAATGGCAGCGACCCAGGCCTGCCATGCTTGTGAACCGGTTCTCTGGATGGTGTCATAGGCTCCGCCATCTTGTTTTTTGCTTCTGCACATGTGCAGAACAATTTTTATTGCACTGTGCATGCCCGTGCACAGCGCACCCATCTGCAAACCGGCAGTAGTGCCTGCTGGAACCCAACCCCGATGATGGCATTCCATGCATAATTTAATGAAATGCCTTGGAGGTTCCTTTCAGAAGTGTTGGTAACTGCATATAAATCATACTTGATTAAATCATCCACATACAGCTTCTGCATCTGCCACTGATTTGAGTTTTCCCCAAGAATGGTTCATATATACTCAGTTTTTACCCCTATATCTTTAAAAGAATGAAGTATTTTAACGCCATTTGTCTAGCCACCTTTATACAGTACTTGCTTTTAAATATTAAACATCATTAATATAAATTATACATTTTCTTTTCTCCAAAGAAGCACAGCTTAGAGCTCCTACACACACAAATACACACACACACACAGACACACATTTTGCAACTTATTCTAACCCTGGATTGCAAAAAGCTTGCTATTGAAACTTGCATGACAAAGAAAGACATATAGTACATGAATGATATAATTGCAATGCATAGTTACTCCATAAGGCACATAGAGATTTCTTTTTCATAGTGTCTAAGGAATTCACAGAATTCGTTTATTTATTCCATTTTCCAGTCTTTCTGTCCTTTTCAACTGGGTGCCAACTGCATGTGTCTGCTTACAAGCCTTGTAAAAGAGTCCAATTTGCCCTGACAAAAAAAGAATTCAGATTACCTCCTGGAAAGAGGATCTCAGCATTTTGTATGAGAGGCTCCACCACTCCTACAACTTGAATGGAGGACACAGAAGCCATGTCTAGCTGCACTTGGGACCTGCGAGAAAGAAGCCAAGAACAACACTGAGCAAGTTCTGAAGCAACAACCTATATAATTCATTTGTCCTAATCTCCCTTGCTCACTTTTACAGGTAGGCTTTACCCACATGTCAGCATATAAATATTAAATTATCCTGCTACTTAATCTCTGAACATCTAATGAGATTTAACCTCTAATGAGATTTAAGTGCACATAAATAATTTAACAATACTATCCTCTCTATCAGCAATATTATCCTCTCATCCCAGGGTGAATGCTTTTTATATTTATGTGGTACTAAACAGGAGGTGATCAGATAAGGCTATTATTGTTAAAATATATACTGATATATATTAATTCCCTGAAAAGAGAAAACATATTTCAATATTGCTTGCTCTTGAAAATGTGTAGGAAAGCATGCAGTCTTGTCTTTCACAAGAATTCCCATCTGTTTCTGGTTGGTTACTTCAAGAACAGAATATTAAGTTGAAAGCACTGCTGTTCGTATGTGTTTTCTGAAGAACTGATTAAAACCTGATTTGAAAGGTATTAAGAACTGATTTAGGAGGACAAGCAATTGGATTCCCCCCCCCCTTTCATTTTGGCAGTGGTTGCTCATTCAGTTTCTTTCGTTTTTTGAGAAGTTTGAGAAATGCCATGTAAAAATATAGAGTGCGATAAATAAACTTTTCACACACAAGCAGACACACACTTTCTCACATTAGGAGAGCTGGCAGTGACAAAAAACATTGAAAAAGTTGAAAGTATGACAGTAAAAGAGAGCTTGCTTTGGAGCTGTGATTGGAGAGATCCAGAAGAAGCTGATACGTTGTCAAACTAAGAGGGATTTAGGTAGTTTTGATTGATGAAGAAGTGCAGAATCCAAGATAGACTGAGAAAGATCACCAAAGATGGAGAAGGATGTGACACAGGATCATGCATATTCCATACAGATGATCAGAGGAAGAAGCTGATTGGAAGAAACCCAGCAGTATCCCACTAGCTACAAAAGACTACCAACTAAAGGTAATTACTGCCTCTCATTAAGGTAGAAATTACCCATAGTTACATACATATTCTATAAGGAATATAGTGACAGTATCTTTACTTTAGGGAAGGTATTATTTAATAACGTAACTAATTATTTATGAAGTTATTTACAGCATTTTAATTTATATCTAATTCTTGGATAGTTGAACCTATGCAAGGGAGTTGGGAAGGAGATGTGTTTATGTGTCTGCTTAAACTACCTAATCACTTACTTGATTGGTTTGGCATGGCTGAAGAAGAAATTAAGACTTTCCTTTCTATATTACAAATAAAGATAAAGTTCTCAGCAAGGTCTTTGAATAAGGAATGTTGAAACCACAAAAATTAAACTGCTGTAATCACATTGTTGCAGTGATGAAAAAAGGTGCACTTTCCAAATGTTTCCCACTTTTAAAAAGAATTTGCCATGGATGACTTCCTTTATCATCCTGTGGGTCTCCAGTTGTTTTGTGCTACAATTCCCAACAGTAATGCTATTGGCCGGAGAATAACGTGTGACCCGTCAAAACCGCGGTCCACAAAAGCGTGATCGACGAAAGCGCGCATTTGACGTCATCACAGCGCGATGAAAAAAATTAAAAATTGAAATAAAAATTAAATTAAAGCAAGCCGATTCACATAAAGGTAAGGGTTAGGTTTAGGGTTAGGGTTAGGGTTAGGTTAAGGGTTAGGTTAAGGGTTAGGGTTAGGTTTAGAGCGTTAGGGTTACGTTTAGCGTTAGGTTAAGGGTTAGCGTTAGGTTTAGCGTTACGTTAACGGTTAGGTTTAGGGTTAGATTTAGGGTTAGGTTAAGGGTTAGGTTTAGGGTTAGGTTTAGGGTTAGGTTTGGGGGGGTTAGGGTAAGGTTTTCGCTTTATTTTTACATTTTCGATCACAGCGCGATGTTTTCGTCGCGCTGTGATGACTTCAAATGCGCGCTTTCGTCGACCGCGATTTTGTCGTCCGCGGTTTTGTGGTGGAACCGAATAACGAGCATTATATTTTAATACATCTGATGGGCAGTACCAAGCTTGGGAGAGAATAACATACATCATTTTTGGAACAACATATTACATAGATAGAGAGAACATGTGAAATAAGAGAGGTATTTCTCAATAATTCATTACTGAATAAGTATCAGGGGTGGGTTCCTGCCAGTTCTAACCTCTTCTATAGAAGAGGTTCCACAAATCTACAGTGCCGTTTAGAATCTGTTCCAGCTCCCACCTCCTGCCCATCTGCGCATCATCAAGATGAAGAGCGAGAGGAGGAATTCTGGGAGTTGAAGTCCACAAGTCTTAAAGCTGTCAAGTTTGAACACCCCTGGGGTTTTTTTTTCTAAAAGGTTAGGGGCGCAAGGGTCTTGTAACTTGACATCTTTAAGACTTGCGTGCTTCAAATGCCAGAGTTCCTGAGCCAACATTTTGGTTGCTAAGCAAGAGCGTTGTTAAGTGAGTTTCACCACATTTTACAAGTTGGCCATGCCCACGCAGTCACATGGCCACAAGCCACTCCCACAAAGCAGGCCACATCTGCAGAAGTGGTTCTCAAAAGTTTGAAACCCACCACTGATATGTATATACTATATGAAACAAACAGAGTATATTGTCTTCTGGGACATCTATACTTTACCTTTCATTCTCCTGAGGCCACAGTAGGTTGGGTCCTAGGACAATGGCAATGTTGCTTGGGGACATTTTATTCACTTCCTGTTGTTCAGCCAGCTTGGCTAAAAAACGAATCAGATACCTACAAAGAAAGAGTGATTTGTAGAAGCAAAACTCAGTGCCTTGATTTTCTTAGGGTTCTCATATTTTTCTATTGAATGCTGACCTACCACAGAAAACCAAGAAGCAGAAAAGCTTTACATCTTCATTTAAGTAAGCCTATAAGCCAACTTTCTGAATTAAGGCAGTGAACATAAAAATGCAAACATTCAAGAATATTATTATACATTATAATAAAACTTAAAATTGATCCTTGAAAGTTTTAAAAATGTATATATGTCACACCTCATGTTGTTGTAGTTGTCCTTGGGAAGAAGATTACAAACATCCTTGAGGCACTCTAGTCGAACCTCTGGTTCTTTGGCACTGAAAAGGAAGAGTGAAGGGGAAAAAAAGGATGTGATTTTTTTTTTTGAGGCAGAAAAGGAAGGGCAGAACAACTTGAAAATAAAAAGGATAATAGAGCTTGTGAGAATTTCTCATATTATTTTGTATTGCCTAATAGTAAAGGACAATGTAATCAGATTCTGGCTGTATTTCTTTTCATGTACATCCTCTAAGGCTTCTCAGATATGGATGGAGCAATCATCACTGCCAATAGCAATAGTACTTAGACTTAAATACCACTTCATAGTGCTTTACAGTCCTCTCTAAGTGGTTTACAGAATCATCATATTGCCCCCAACAATCTTGGTCTTCATTTTACCGACCTTGGAAGGATGAAAGGCTGACTCAACCAGTCAGAATCGAACTGCTGGCAATTGGCAGAATTCGCCTGCAATACTGCATTCTAACCACTGTGCCACCAAGCTGTCTTTGGCTCTCAGTTGGTGGAAGCACCTGACTGAGCTTCTCTGAGGGTAGAAGCCAAACAAGTTGGGTGGGTTTCGTTAATATTTCCATGGGGGTGTCATTTGGGAATACTAAGGTTAATTTCTAGACTGTTTCTTTTAATGGGAATAAAGCAGTGGCAACCTTTTCATGTTGTTGTGTTGCCAAGAAATTACACAGATGTGCCCATGAAATTATCAGGAGTCAAGTTCAATGCAAAGGAACCTTGACGTGAAAGTAGATTTGATTGTCAGAGTTAATTGCTTGAGCTGAGATTCAGTCTCAGGTTTCTACAGTTTATTCTAAACTCAAACCACTGGATATACTGTATATTTTATGGATCAGAATATATTACACATTCTTCTTCTGCACCATCATGTGTTAGGAAGATTTTTTTGACAATTTATAAGAAAACAAGTTAATCGCCAGTACTATGAATATCAGGAGATTAACAATTATACACAAACAGTAGGAAATTTCTGGCTTCTTGTTGGGTTGTCATTGTTCTATCTGCCTATGGGAAATTGAATAGGACTAGAACTGGGCAGAATTAGTACTCTAAGAATAATCTGAGCTAGAAACAAAATTGCATATATTTCTGAGAGTTTTCTTTTAAAAGAAGATCTCTGCTGAAATATATAATTTCCTTTTACCTTTTTAATGTCATTAACTTATATCTGCACTTTCTTAATGGCTGTGTAGCCTGACCTGTGCCAGCATATACAGTGGATATAAGAACTCTACACACCCATTAAAATGCTACCTCTTTTTCCAATATAAACAAGGGGGTAAGTATTAGTTTGTCAGATAAATAAAACTCAACCAAAGACTGAAATAATTATAGTGTGCTTAAGTCCGTTTTTCTATTTCCAACTCACCTGGCAGCTTTCAGCCAATCATCATAGAGTTCAGAGGTCATCAACGGCTGTGGCAATTCTCGTAGGTAACATTTTAGTGCACCTGGAAGCCAAAAAGTATATTTCTGACACAATATGACTGCCTAGCTATAAACAAAATGTAAATTGCCTGGTATGTTTTGAATGTTTCAATATTATGAGAAATCAGTATTGTAATCCAGTGTTTTTCAACCTTTTTTGTGCAAAGGCACACTTTTTTCATGAAAAAAATCACGAGGCACACCACCATTAGAAAATGTTTAAAAAATTTAACTCTGTGCCTATATTGACTATAGGCAGGTGTTTTTCCCACGGCACACCTTACACTATGTCACGGCACACTAGTGTGCCGCGGCACAGTGGTTGAAAAACACTGTTGTAATCAATGAGTTTCGGAACTGTTTTCCAAACTGTCTAAAGAACTTTAAGTTGTTTACTGCTGTCTGAGGGGAAAATGGAATTATGCTGTGTAAACTTGCCACATTTAATGATGTTCAAAGTAAATACTTTATTTTCCTGTGAAGCAGCAAGGGAAGGTTGCTTAGAAGTTCGCAGGTGAGAGGAAGTGTGCTTTGCTTCTATTTTGCTCTACTCAAATTTCATTGAAAAGCCTCTTTGATGATTGATCAATCGATCAATCAATAGATAGATAGATATAAACTTTATTGCCATTTTTTTTACTGTGAGTGCACTGGTACCCATTAAAAATGAAATTCTGTTGCCTGCTTTCAAAAGTGTACATATACATAACACACACACACACACGCACACACGCACACACGCACACACCTACAACCATACATACATATATTAATCACTGTCCATCTTGAATACATATTGGAAAGAGGAAGTTTGAGAGTTCACAAGGTTGATACTATATGGAACAAAATTGTAACCAAATCTGGATGTTCTGCTTTGGAAACCACAAAGCCTCCCTCCCAGAAGGTAACAAGGAAAACAGGTCCTGAAGAGGATGTGTAGTAGTCTCAGGCAAGATCTCTTCTGATCACCTACCTGCCACAGCATGAGGGTCTACGTAGAATTCATCCAGAATATTTGAGCCACTGTCAAGATAGTATTTTAGTTTCTTCAGCACAGAAGCTCCAGCGGCCAGCCGGAAGAGCCCCTAAAAGAAGAAATAAAAATAAGAGAGAAGCCAGGAGGTCCGTGGCAAATGAATGGCTGGACAGAGGGTGGCACCTACCTCTTCCCGCATACCTGTGGTCAACAGCATCATAACACAGGCTTCAATGGGAAGTGCAATCTCTCGCCCAGCAGCCTTCAGGTGAGTCTCTAATGGCATGCCATACACCCCTGGTACAGCTGCATCTAATGGAAAAGGAGCATCTAGACAAGGAAGGAGGAGGAGAAAGGTCAAAGATTAAAGAATGTTGGTCTCTTAATTTCCACAGTTATCTCCTCTCTACTCTTCTGGCCTAATATCAGTTTTTTTTTGATGTACACAGAACAAAAACCTGAAGCCATTTCTAGCTTACTACCACAGTTTAATGCAAACATCAGTTAATGCAAACGTCAATTAAAAAGGACCACAACTAAACAGATGAGCAGAGAATGTCCCTACTAAAAGTATTAAGGTTCAGTTCCCACATACTATATTTGCAGCCCTTTCTCCTTAATATTCTCAAAGCTCTGGCTGAATAATAACAATTTATTTATTGCTAATATGTCACATCAAAAAAGTCAACTCAAGTTGTACCTGTTTGGTTGTCAGAGCTCATTAGCTCTGCCAAGCTGGAATTTAGAGATTCCAGAGACTTCTGGTGATATTCTGCCTGGATTTCCAACAACTGCCACAGAGGAACATGCAAACAGAATTGTAATTCTAATTAATATTTTTCCTACAAGCCTTGTCTATGGAGAGATGAAATTTTCAGAAGTGATGTGATTTTAAAAATATAATATAAATAAAATATAAGTAGAGTAGTTAAGAAAAGGAATTAAATCTTACTTTGATAAAGTACTTAGCATAGCTGTCCTCCTTGGTTGAAAAATGATATAAATCAGCCATATATTCATCCTGGAACAGTATTGGGAAATATTATTCCTTGATGCACTTGTGAAAAATTAAACAAAATTTCATCACTATATTTCTTGACATTCATTCATTACAGCAGAGTTTCCCAACATAGGCGGCATTGACATGTGGACTTCAACTCCCAGAATTCCCCATGTCTGGCTGGAGAATTCTGGGAATTGAAGTCCATGCATCTTAAAATTGCCAATTTTGCATTACATCATCAACAAATTCCTAATACAGATAGGGAGTATACTTGTACTTCTCGAATATAACTGCATGGCTGTCAGGATACATGTACGCAATTAATGGAAGCCAACAAATTCTTATGCTTCCCATTGGTAGCCATTACAAGATCCATGGTGACTTTCTAAGCTAGATTAGAATAATGAGATGCAGGGCTTTTGCAATAGTCTTATTTTAGCAATCAGGTAGGTTTTGGGGTGACAATCATTAGAAACTAGTTTGGCATTTTGAGCTCACTTATGGAAGCTACCCAATACACAATAGAATTGATAGTAGAGACTGGTTCCATCACTAGACAATCTAAACACAGCCAATCTGATGAACTCTATGACAAAAAGAAACTACATCAACACTCTATTCTTTCTAGTTTATTTTTTAAACTCTTTCTCAGCTGTCCTGTACTTGATGAATTTCTTACACAAGCACATTTCTTTATACCAGAATTGAAGAGTGGACTAAGATAAATCAATATATTCTTGATCAAGCTGTCTCTATGTTTAAGTACCTTACTCTGCTCCACCCTCCTCTTCATCTCCTCTTCCTCCTCCTTCAGATTCTCCAACTTTAAGGCAGCTGACGAGGCTCCTGAAGTTGTGACAGCACTGACACTGTTATTGGAATTCTTGGCAACTTGGTTTAGACTGCATTTTTTTTAAAAAAGAAAGATGTGATGGTATTTCAAAATTAGGAAACAGGATACGTTTGATATGAAAAAAAATTCTTAATAATCAGGGTTTGAGCTGTTATTGTGAAGCCTAAGACTGACACTCTGGATGCAAAGTGCAAACACCCATGTAATGCTATATTTCCTGTGGCATGGGAAGCCCAAACTGTTTTAACAGCAGTTTGTGCAGTGCAGGGAGTTTGTTGAGAGGGGAAGAAATCTGATTCTTTTGATTGTTTAGAAATAAGGCAGGATAAAAATGAGTCAAGATTGGGACACTTAAGAGATTCCTTCATAACATATGAATGTAATATTATTCCAAGTCAAGCCATTAAGTTGGCAACATCTTTCCCTTTGGCATAACATGGATAGCATAAGAGCACTATGGGCATTGATGGACAGTCACTTATTTTTAAGTAAATGGAATGTGAATTAGTCCTATCTACAGATGGAAAGTTGCAATTAATCAGGTTTATTTCTAATGCTCAGTTATATGTTCTATCTTAATTATTCCTTAGTTCATCCCAATGCAGTATTAGAACTGATAACAATTAAGTAGGAGAGTGACTTTATATTTATACCACTCATATAACAACAGCCATATGTATATCCATACAATTCTTATGTCCCAAAATACAGCACATGTATCCACTTGAACACACAGATGAAAATGTTGGGTAGAAGGTCTTTCCATGAAAATTAATTTGGTAATCAGGAAACCTGAAAGAGGAACAACGCAACACTCCCTGTAATGTTTGTTTGTATAAACATGATTCTTTTGGGGCATTGCTTTGCACTGACAGTGGACTTCTGGAAATACCATACATATTATTACATTTTTCTCAAAAGAGGCAGAACACAAAGCTAAACATTAAAATAATATTTTGGGCTTATGATACCTAAAGTACATTATGGATTTATGGAGGCTGTAACAAATAGGCCCTCATATACACTATAACAATATGTGGTTTATTTTTTCAGTTAGCAAGCATAGTAGTGAAACATTTTACTGATGTGAATATGATAGCAAGCAGTTACTAACTGAAAAGACATCTAAAAACATGAAAGCCACTTCTAACAACCTTGAGAATTTAGTTTCCTATTACTGACATGGATTGATGGCAGTTATCCAACTCTTGCAGCTGTTTTTATTGACTAATTCGGAAATGGCAAGTATTGATGCTGAGATGTACTGCATGCAAAGTAGGAGTTCCACCACTGAGCACTCACCTCTCCTTAACCCATGCATTTGCTTAGAAACATTAAATAATTTATGCACGTCAGCATGGAAAACAAATAGTAATGTAAGACCTCCCAAACTGAAATGCAATTGAACTGGCATGTAGGAGATCATCCATTTGTGCAGTTTTCCCTAACCTGGCATCTCTTAAATACAGGGAATCCTTACTTAATGGCTGCTAGTTAACATGTGACATTATGTTTAATGATGGAGGATGATTCACATAACTGCAGCTGCCAATTGCTGTAGGTCAGTGTGCTCACATGACATTTAATTTTATGACCATGCCATTTAGTGATGGAGTTAGTGGTCCTAATGGCAGTTGTTAAATGAGGACTATAATATGCCACTGGCCATGCTGACTGTGAGTAATAGAAAGTACAGTAGAGTACATCTGGTAATAGATTAGAAAAATGATATGCTAAAGATCTGAAGTAGTTTTGAAGTGCTAAACTGTGTTTTGTTCAAATATCAGTTGGCAGTGATTGCATTATATCATAAACCATTGTGGCTAGCTCACACAAACCCTAAACCCCAAATCCAAGGAAATTGTAATCCAGAATGTTAAATTAGTTGGTACTTTAAAGCTTTGGATGGCAGGGATCTTGTTGCCAAGGTGATGTTATCAAAAACACAACAAGCCCCTGGTGGAATGTGAGTTACATCTTAAGAGACTTTTCCCCCTCACCCATTTCAAAGGTTACATTGAGCCCTCTCCATTTTTCTATTTCATTATATCCCCCTTCCCTCCCACCCAGTACCGGCTTTTGATGCTGTTCCAATCCAGAATATGTTTCTGAAGGTTCTTTTTATGTTTCAGGATGACAGGCAGCTCCTCCTTGAAGAGATTGGAATGAAGGAGTTAGGGCCGGTTCACTCTATCATCAGTTCCCATAAGCCCATCCCCATCAATAATTTTTAACTTAATAAATGTTAAAATGGTCTTTAGATATACCTAGATATATGGTAATAATGCAAATGATAATAATAAAAATGCTGGCTGGGCGATTCTGGGAGTTGAAGTCCACAGGACTTAAAGTCACCAAGGTTGAGAAACACTGGACTAAAGATTTGACTCTTATATTATTATGCAAGAAGCCATAATAATAATAAGCTACAATGGCCAGCAGTAACAAAGTTACTTTGGAAGATCTTCAAGAAATATAATTTGTCTGCAAGCAAGAACTGGTGGGATCACAAAATAGACAAGTAGAAAACGAAAAAGCTAAAGTGTTCTGGTATTTTAAAATTCAAACACACAAGCATCTGCCATATCATGCCTCAGATTTAACATTTGTTAGTAAGAAAGACAAAAAAAAAAGTCTGGATAATGGATGTAGCAGTAAAAGAGAAAAGAAAAAAAAAATGGAGAAAATCACAACATTTAAAGACCTACAAATAAAAGTCGAACAACAGTAGGGGGGAAAAAAGCAAAGATAATACCAATAATAATAGGCATCTTGGGTGCAATCCCAAAACATCTGTCGCACCATTTGTACACTGCTGGCATTGACAAAAATCATGATAATTGCAAAAGGCAGCTTTACTTGGAACAATATGCTGCAATGAAACTTAATTAAACAACAACTTCCAGCCTATCCTGGGTGCTTGGAAAGGACTCAGTAAGTATATAAAAATGCCAAGTTCAATTTAAACATCTGGCTGACTCAGGTGCCAACCATAATAATAAGCTTTGTATCACTTTAGTGATGGATAAATGGCACGAGAAAATTCTTGCAGTGACTAGTGAGAAAATGCCATTAATTTAAGTTCCTGTTTGTTTGTAGTCTGCATAAAATAGCCTATTTCTTATGTTTCCAGGATTTTATTCTTTTTCTGACGTTAATATTATGATGGCTCTTGCAAGGACTCTGTAAGAGAATTTTCATCATAGCCAGATTTGTCATTTATTTGCTAGATTTATATCCTATCTTTCCTCCAGGAGATCAAAGGAGCATACATAGCAGTCTTTCCTCCAATTTCTCTTACAAGAATAATTCCATAAAGAACATTGTTGAGTTGAGAAACAGTGATTGGTATATAAAGGCATTCAGTGAGTTTCCAATGACTGAGAAGGGGTTTGTCTCTCCTGAGATCTTGGGTGGCTTCTTACCTACTACACTTTTTCTTATATCTGAACAGCAGAAGCCGTTAGTGGTCTTTCTAGTGGCACCCTGGCAGGAAATGCCTGTTTCCTGATTTTGCTTAAGTTAGAAAGTCAAGCATGACAAAGTAGTTATTTCCAGTGCATATTGATCCTTAACTATAGCTGTGAGCAGCCTTATAAAATGTAAGCAACCTTTTGATTTTTTGATGAACATCACAATCAAAGTTCCAATAGTTGCTAAGTTACAGCAGCCTTTGCCCATTTGTTAGGAAGGGCTGTTTGGCTGGGTCCCTGAAGCATTCCATCATCTATTGTTTAACCATAGGTTACTGCGTGAATTGCACTGTGGCTGGGCAAATTGTGAAAATGCTGGGGTTAAGTAAACATGGAAATAGGAGTGAAGAGAAAAAAAGATGAAAGATTATGCTGGTTTCTGACTGTAGTAAAGGTTTGATTTGATTTGAGACCAAAGATACCTCACTCAGTTTATTCAGGGGTTGTAGGACATCTTGTTCGAGAGTAATTTCAAACTCTGCAAGGATCCTGGCCAGCATGCTTTGAATGCAGCAACTCATTTCTAGAGCTTTCCTGAAAGCAAAGAAGAAAGAAAGAGTTGAAAACCTGAAGGTGAAGAGTATCAATCTACCATAACACCTCTTGGGACTAACATACAGTTTTTCTTCTTTCGCTTCCAGAGTCCTGGTTTGGATCTTCCAACAGTTGTTTCTTCTCACATCCAGCATTTTCTAGGTATATTGCATTGCAAGCCATGTGCAATGGGAATCGAGAGCATCAAATTGGGAAAACCATTTTTTAAATTAGTTTGCCACAATTCTAACTTCTGCGATTATTACTAGGTGTGCTTTAATTTATGTGATATGTATCCCATCCCAGAGCAAAAAGGGCCACTAAAAGTAAAAATAAGCAGTTGAAAAATCTAGTTTAAAAGGGGTAAAAATCACAACTCATTCCAACGGAAAAGGATAAAAGATGGAGACCAGAGCACAATTCCCAAAGAAATACTCTCCGGATTTTGGAATTACTTCGATGATTGGAGATACAAGACAGTTTATTCAACCAGTAACTTCATTCCCCTCATCCATGTTCTAAATAAAATATTCATTGAGTAGCAGACACATGTACTTGACACTGATAAATCTGTTCTGTAGTTTCAGGTCATTGTGGCTCAGCTTTAGTTGATAAGGCAACATATGTTATTTGTGGGATTGCCTGTAAACAAATACTTTGATTTTTGTGACTTGGTGTGTCTGTTACCGAAAAAAAAGTCTGCCCTTTGCTCTTTTGTGACACTGCAAAGAGGAAGCCAAGGGAATGCTAGCAAGGCAAATAGTGCCTATTAAGTGATGAGCAGTAGAATTTCAGGCTGCAGTAGCAAATTTGCACTTTGTGTGATGAGACTTTCTCTTCTTCATGTCACTCCTGTGTGTTCTTACAATTGCTCTGGAATGTGCGAGCCTGCACAAGGGGAAAGGGAAATGGCATTCCTCCCACTCAACACCCAGAAAATGGCTTCTGCTAATAGAAGTGTAAGAACCAATTTGGTGTCCTGGTTAAGGCAGAAGATTAGAAACCAGGAGGTCATGGATTCTGGTCCCATTTTAGGCATGAAATAAACCAGTTGACCTTTGGCTAATCACACACTCTTAGCCCTAGGAAGCAGGCAATGTCACCCACTTCTGAAATCTTGCCAAGAAAACTTCAGGGATTTGTCCAGGTAATCACTAGGAGTCAAAAACTGCCATGAAGTCATCCCCAACCAATATCCACCAAGCACAGAAGTGCAGCTTGGATTTCACCTTGTGAAAACTGGATCCACTCTGTGTTTCTGCTGCTTTCTCATTTACCACCCTATTTCTGGACAGAAAGTAATCCCAGAAGTACAAAATATAGCCTAATGAAGATTTCATAGTTGGCATGGCTCTTAAAATACATGGTCAATAGGTCACGTGTGGTGGAGGAAAATAGACAAGACAAACAGAGGAGACTCAACTTGCCATATATTTCTGTATGAGTGGATTTTAAGGTTAATATTAATTACACAGATGCTAGAAAGAATACTGCTCTAGAAAAACAATATTTTTATGTTTTCAGAAAACAAACAAAAACCAAGTTCAGTCAGGATAATTAGTATGCAAAGATCATTTCCAAATTGAGAAAGAAAATATGATTTTGCGATCCATAAAGGGGATGAACTTTATAGGAGCCTCAGAGATAACAAACTAGATTAATATGTTCCTCAGTTATAAAGAACACTCTGTGGTCTTTCTCTCATAAAATGTAAGAGTTCTTACCCGAGACTGGAATCCGTGTCTAATTCCTTAAAACTTTCAGCCATAGTGACTGATAATGCCATCAAAGGTAATTTTTTCTGTGGAAAAAAGTGAGTAAATAAGATGAACAGACAAGGAAAATACCTATACCGGTTGGTAACAGCTAACAGTTGGTAATTACAATTATTAAATCTCTAACTTTTTACCTACATTCTGGGTTCTTATAGTGATATAACTTTCCTCTGTTTCTTTACTATTGACTTAACAGGTATTAGTAACTGTTTCTCACCACCAACACCTTATCTTAACTGTTTCTCACCACCAACACCAGGGGATTGTGATAATTTCATGTTATACTCCAGAAATGGTAATAATAGAAGAACCAGTGATAAGTGTTAGTAAAAAACGTATATGCAACATTCTACATGCCTTTTATCTAAAGACAGAAAAATATTCACCCAAGTGACTTGAATAATATGGAAAAGTCTGGGAAAAAAGTGATGGGCCATTGAAGACCCAGGAATGAATTAGTATGGTGCCTGTTAAGTACTTGCTTAGAAAAAAGATACTCTTTGGTACTGAAATATATTTATGGCAAATATATAAGGAATATTGGAATGATATTAGACATTGGTTAGAGATAGGAGTATACATATTATATTGTATGTAAATCAATTACCAATAGAAGAGAATATTTGTAGCCCAGATTTGACCCCCGTGCATCAGTACACCACCACCCCACACACACATGCACATGTGTCCCCCTGTGTAGGCAGAGACCCAAAAACTAGCTGACTGGCAGGAGGCGCATGTACATGCGCGGTGGAGCTGAGCTGGGGCGAAATGTGTCATAGGTTTGCCACCGTGGCACTATATGTTGTGTTGTGAGGAATGAATCTTTGTCACACAAAGCAAGACCAACTCAATATAGAAAGGATAATTTGCAAGGACAGAAAGGTAGGGGGAGGTGCAATAAACTGTAAGCCAGATTTAGCTATGTTTCTTTTTCTGAATCCATTTTTTAAATTTCTTTGCCTTTTTATCACTCCTTTTCTGAACTATGCATAATTCACCCCAAAAGGGAACAGTGTGGTAAGTATGTAGATAAGCATGATGAAGGTACGTATGGTAGTTCATTAACTGTCGGAACATAACAGAGCTACAAGCCTTTTCTTTAAATGATAATCATATTGGTTTTCTCGACTCCTATGTATGTTTTAAAAAATGAAATAGGTTAGGCAGGAAAGTACACGATTTGGCATTACTGATTTAAAGTTTAGGATTAGCATCTTAAAATATTGTTGGTGGTTGCATAATAAGCCACAGACATGGGTTTTAAGAAAGAACATTATTGGTGCTCCCATGGGCCAATTTATACCTTATTCTAAAATCTGTATTGGGCTGGATGGCAAATGTGCTTGTGTTCTCCCACTGGCTGCACCCATGAGGGATGTATGCTGCTTAAAAATGTCCACAGCTTGGCTAGTTGAACTTAGTGATTAGTACTCTGGATGTACTGTATTCACTCAGAAGCTAGAGATGTAAAATAAGAACAATCTGAAAAAGATTCATTACTTCATCCTCTGTTTTTTTCTAGCTAGAAGAAAGATGATTTTTAAAAAATTCTAAAGAATATGAAGTACAAAAGTATTACCGGTCTAAAGTAGAAAAGTAATTAAAGTAATGGAAGAATTATAAAGATTGATTAATGAATTCTCTTGATTTTTGTATAATTTTTATTGTACCATTCCTCGAAGGAATGCAAGTAGTAGTCTGTTATTATTCTCTCCTTTTTTTTAATTATCAGAAAAGTTCTGTATAGTATATCAGTCTGAAAAGGGTAATTGGTTAGTGTACTCCCTTCTCCTCCCGCCCTTCCATACATATTTATACACAGAAGCAAAGTGAACTGCTGAAGAAAAATTACAAATACGATATTTGGATTTTGCCTGTATTTAATTCCAGAGCTGATTATAAAATATGTATGGACATAAATAAATTGTATCAACTAGTTGTATCTCTCCATGGACAAAATCCAATAATTCTGTTCAATATAATATGACTTTGAATACTGATTATGATCCACAGGTCACATCAGACATAAATACAATTGAACAAGTCTAGAGATATTTCATGGGAAGAGTCCTCCACTCCTCTGCTCGTAACAGAATACCTTATGCCACCAGACTTGAAATTTTGGGCTTAGACAATTTAGAGCTTCGCCATCTTTGACCCAACCTAAGCACAGTATATAAAATTATCTGCTACAATATCCTACCTGTCAATGAATACTTCAGCTTCAACCACAACAACACATGAGCTTACAACAGACACAAACTTACGTAAACTGCACCAAACCTGATTGCAGAAAATACATCTTCAGTAAAAGAGTCGTCAATGCCTGGAATGCACTACTGTCTGACACTGGTTTCTTCCCCAAACCACCAAAACATTAACCTTAGACTGTCTACTGTCAACCTCACCTCATTGCTAAGAGGTCTCTAAGGGGCTTGCATAAGTGCACCATGTGCCTACGGTCCCTGCCCTAATATTCCCTTGTATTCGTATTCATTTCATGTATTCATAATCATATCTATACTTATATCTGTTATCTAATTCATGCTTGATGAAATAAAATAAAATAAATAAAATAAAATAAAAAACTTGAATGGATTTTTCATACCAATAGATAAATGAGAATATGGCTTACATAATTTTTAGCCAGCAGGCCCAATGGCAATATTGGCTGAAGAGTCAATGTATCCAGAAGACATAAAATACTAGAAGACTATCTAATTGCAAGGGCAAAGGAACTCAAATCTCCCATAGCCTAGGATAAATGCTACAGATAGAACTGTGGATTAATATTAGCAGAATAACAGAGTTGGAAGGGACCTTGTAGCTCATCTAGTCCACCTCCCCGCTCAAGCAGGAGAGCCTACAACATTTCTGACAGATGGCAATCTCTTCTAGAAAGCTCCCAGCGATGAAGCTCCCACGACTTCTGAAGGCAAACTGTTCCATTGGCGATTGTTCTCACTATCAGAAAAACAATCCTTATTTCTAGGTTGAATTTTTCCTTGGCCAATTTCCATCCATTATTCTTTGTCTGGGCTTCAGATGCTTTGGAAAATAGCTTGACCTCTTCCTCTCTGTTACAGCTCCTCAAATATTGGAACACTGCTATATTGTCTCCCCTGGTCCTTCTCTTCACTAGACTAGCCATGCCCAGTTCCCGTAACCGTTCTTCATATGTTTTAGCCTCCAGTCCCCTAGTCAGCTTTGTTGCTCTTCTCTGTACTCTTTCTAGAATCTCATCATCTTTTTTATAGGATGGTGACCAAAACTGGATGCAGTAATCTAGGTGTAATCTTACTAATGCTTTATATATTAATTCCCTTTTTTTTCAATTTCCTGGAGATCTGCATAGGAGCTGTACATAGCAAAGCTGGATAAAATAAAACTCTATATTACAATCTAGATCAGCACCCAAATCTGGAGCCAAGGAGAGGAAAAATTTCTAGACATAAATTACTGCGTACCCATTGCAATTTTTTTCTCAGTGCAGAATAGTATCAGCTTCTAAAAAAGGTGAGGTGGGAAAGGAAGATGTTTTATAATTGAGAACTAGCATGAAGCACCCAAAATGTGCTTCCCATATTGTGAACTGAGATCCAGAAAGACCCCCCCCCCAAAGAAGGAAAAATGACATTTACCACCCGTTTGTCCAGTTCCGCCCCATATTGCCCCTGGAGGCAAGCCACAAGCCTCTTGTGCACATTGTGTGCTGCCCGTTTGACTGGTTCAATTCTCTGTTCAACCTAAAAAAAGAAAGTGGAACAGTTAGCAGAGAAAAAATAAGGAGAAATTCATTTTCTATACATCCACCGTGGTTCCCCATACATACTCTCTGTTTGTTTGTGTGTGTGTGTGTGTTTTGGGGTGTGTGTGTGTGTGTATGCAAATAGCTTCTGTGAACATCCTTTCCTTCATCTTGGCCAGTCTGTCAATCACAACTTTGTTTAAATCATTTTTAATGGGTTAATGTTGTAATTTCATTTTATACTGAGACACTCAGTTGTTAGGAATTATCAAATACACATTTGAGAAAATATAAATATTTATTCATGGACTCCTGCAGTGCTTAAAACGCCTTGTCCTGTTATTAAAATGACACAGCTGGAGTTAAAAAATGCAGCCACTTTCGAAAGCATACTCAGAATAGTCTGATCCTCTTATCCTTTTGGAGATTGTGACTAAAATATGTACATTACAATCATCTGTGGCTCTTCCAGTCATCATTTGTATTCATGTAACTATCCTTCTCATTGTCAAAAATTTACGTTGAATTCAAACATTATGCCAGAAAAAAAACCCAGTTAAGTAAACAAAGCCCTTTAGGATGACTTTCACTGCCTTTCAAAGCTCCATTAATTTAAGGACCGAGACCCAGTTCACAGAACATCGGCAGCTTTGCATGTTCTAAAGTTTTGCTGGTCTAAGTTGTTCCATGAACGCTCTGCATCTTCTCGGGTGTTCTCCCCCAACCCCACCCAGTGGAGTCTTATTGTACTCAGCTTGCACGACACAGCTTAGTAGTAGACCTGGTTCGTATCGGGAGAGGATGATTCCAGTCCAAGATTGTCTTGTGACTCAGACACAGAGAGAAAACAAACTGCTGCTCTCTAAGACAAGTGACGCCTTCTCTGCCAGCACAGGGCTACAGGTAAGCACATGCCCAAAGATGAAACCTGGTGCCTTACCTGGAGCAAGTCTTCAGTCAAGTAATCCGCTGTTTCTTGGCCTCTGGAGAAGGAGGAGCAACAATGGGAGAAAGAGGTCACCAACACACTTGTACATTAAGTTTATATTATTTCAATAATGTCTATACTGTAAGCCCCCTCCTTGCATGTTAGATCAGTATTATACTTTCAGAAAAAATGGTAGAGTTGCTTGTAAGACAGATTGATTTACCCCTGGGAAAGAAGAATAGGATCAGAATTTTCCAGGCTCATAGTTGTCACTAACAAAATGTCAGGTTAGCATTCAGAAAAAAACAAAAANTCGGATAATTCTGCACAACTCAGTTTTGTAAAAATTCCTAAAAGACAAGTGAAGAAAATAAGTATAAGATGGATTACTTTGAATTTACCATCTATAATGGGTTTTATTTAATTCTGAAATATTTAGGATTGTATTTCCAAGAGACAGGGTTAAATTGTCTAAATAAATACATTTCTCTCTTAGAATGCCTCATGTGAGGAATTGCATGTGAGATGATATGCACTTTATAACATACAGTATAGCAGTTAAATGTTTAAATTCACTGGATGGACAGAGCTCAATTCTTGTAAATTGTGTTAAGGAAGTAACAGCAGGGTATTCTTCTCAGCTCAAAATAGCATAAACAACCACTCTAGTCACTGTTCTATTTGTAGCAGTCATCCATTGGACCACAATCTCTCTAATGCAGGAATTATGCGAACTGAAATCTAGCATATTTAGTGGACTTCCAACTTAGAGAAAGCCATTATATAATAATTCTGCTGAAGCAATTCTGCTATATTAGTTGTTTGTAGTGCTAGTGGTGTCCCTGGAAGTGATGAGTGAAGAATTCTGGGAGTATATACTGTATGTATGTATGTATGTATGTATGTATGTATGTATGTATGTATGTATGTATGTACATACATGTATACATTATATATATAATGTATCAGTTGGAAATATGTAGGAAAGGCTTCACCCTGCAGTGGATAAGACAATGGCTAAACTAATGATGATGGTGATACACTCAGATATGAAGATAATCCCAGCTAATTAAAGCAAGTAGGCACCAGTAATACAGGAAATGCTGAAGGTGGATTATCAGTTTCATGAGAATGGCAAAGGCATAATTTCATACTATGCAGAAGTCAATGCTAAACCATTTCTCTATTTTAGCAAGAAAGCCACTTAGAAAGGTAGTATACAGTGACTAGCAATATAGTGTCAGAAGATGGGCCTTCGGGTCAAATGGCATTCAATGTTCTCCTGAGAAAGAGCTGATGCTCTTTTGGAGTGTTAATGGTGTTTACAATGCAATCAGATTAAAGACCCTGGAAGGGCTAGTTGCTGATATTGCCATGTATGACAAGAAAAGCTGGAGTGACAAAGGCAGAATTACAATGGGAGCACAGAACATAAGAAATATGAACTTGGGATGCTCAACACAGTTAAAGTTGAAATGAACCAGTAATACATTAACATCTTAGGCATCAGTGAACTGAAATGTTCTGGAATTGGACTCTTTCACTCAGAAGATCATGTTTATTACTCAGAACATGAAGAACAAAGGGAGAACAACGTTGCTTTCATAGTCAAGGAGATACTGCAGCAAGCAGAATAATTGGAAATGGTGCAGGCAATGACTGAATATTAGACCTTTCCAGACAAAACTTTAACATGATGGTTACATACTTGTATCCTCCAATCACTGGCATTGAAGAGGACAGCAATGGGTTTTAAACTCAGGTTTAATATGGAATTGGCAGAAGATGCAAGCTTGTGGTTGGAAACTGGAATGCCAAAGTAGGAAATAGTTTAAGGTTGAAAAGACAGTTGGACCTAGTCTCTAAGAAACAGAAATGAGGCAGAATAGCCTGTTTTTGCTAATCCAGTCATACTTTTTATTGCTAACATTCTTTAAACAACCAAAATGACACCTGTATAACTGGACATCACCAGAAATCAGACTGACTATATTATTGATACAAGGCAGTGGAAGAACTCGGTTGTAACAGAAAAGATGAGGATGGCTGTGTAATAGCCCTGTAGTACATATGTGCAAGATTGAAATCAAGCTAAAGCACAAAGACAACTAGCTTCCATTATATGATCTTTGAGTATGTGCTAACCATTTTCAAGATCACATATTGTTTTGAAATCTTGAACCTCGTTGATAGGGAACTAGAAAAATTGTGAATGAAAATAAAAGAAGTATTAATGTGAAAAAAGACTGCCAAAGATCAAGAAACAGAAGAAAGTAAAATGGATGGCAGAAGAAAGTGGGTAAACAGCCAAGAGAAGTTAAAGGCAAAAATCTCAGGAAAAAACTTAACAAANATTGGAAGAGTTCTTGGGCAGCTGCAACATGTCAGGTGAATGCAGGCTTGGAATGTTCAAATGTTAGCTGTGATTTAATTCTCACAATCTAACCTGAAGTTGAATGTAGGTTCAAGGCCTATAAATGGCAGCATGAGGAAAGAGCAAAAGCCTCAAAATCTACCTTGGATTCCTTTTGAAAATAATTGTTTCCAGTACTCTGGAAAAGGAGCCTGAAAACTGCTATTTCAACAGCACAATGCTATTTTGTGGAAAATTGGAATGCTTCCCAGATTCTGTCACACATTCTTGCCACTGATAAACAAAATAGGGAAGATGTCCTCAGGTCAAACCTGGCTCCATTTGACTGTATGGGTATAATTGTTTTGGAATCTTCTTGACTGCAGAAATGCCTTTGCCATTCTTACCTACTCCCTGACAACTGCGATTCCAGACTAGGTTTCTGCCATCACCATTTCTGGTGATCTCCTATCCCAGCTCCTATCTACATAGAATCAGTCAACTGTCACCATTAGATGAGGCCCATCTGAGCCATGCAAGCTGTCCTAAGCTCAAAATATTACCAGAACATCCATATTGAGTTTTTTGAATTCAAAAGATGTTCTGGAGTTCTTTTCCCGAGATTGGGGCAAAAGGGACTGGCAAAAAACTGGAACAGACCTCACTCAAAAGTTTATAATGGATGTTTTGGTCAAACTCTTTTTCCCCTGGTTCTTGGACAAATAATCACTAGGGCATGTTCCAGAAAAATATATAGAGGACATTTCCTCACAGTCTGGGAAATGGCCTTTCCTGAAATATTGTCGCCTTCTTATTCTTTGCCCTATGCCTGACAATATCCTCCCTCTCCTTTTGGTTTTCCTATCTGTTTTCAGTTAGAAACACATTTCAAACTCTGATCTAGAGGAAATATATGGGATTTTCGTTACCTTGATGGGCTTAGTTTGAATTTCACAGCAAACTGAAATGAACACAAATCAGGAAATCAAAGATGATGTTAAAAGACTTCCCCCATTTCTGCATATCAGTCTCAGCCTCAGCAACTAAGACATATGAGGAATTCAATTCCCAGAATTGGGATTGGCTTGGGAATTCTGGGAGTTAAAGCCCACATCTCTTAAAATTGTCAGCATTGAGAAAACACTGGTATATATCATGGGAAATATTGCTGGCAGTCTGGGGTGGGCTTCAAAAATTTCAGCAACAAATTTCAGCCCAGTTGTTGAGTGGCCGTGGCCTTCTTGGCCTCCTGTACCATGGTGGTGGTGGTGGGGGGGTTTCCCCAGGTTCCAGAGGCTTTCCTCGAGCCTCTGGGAGAGCAAAAACTGCTTCCCCCAGGCTCCAGAGGCTCTCTGGAGGCCGGAAACGGGCCTGTTTCTGGCCTTCCAGAACTTCCAGGAAACCTGTTTTCCCCTCTCCCTGAGCCTCCGTGCAGGCCCTGCAGTTACTTCGCATCCAAAACGGGCCACATGGAGACTCCTGAGTGGGACGGGTGGTGTGGGTGATTTAGAGGTTCTCCGAACCAGCCATAATGTTAGCTATGGGTTCTCCTCAACCTGGGCAAACCTGTAGCAGCCCACACCTACTGGCAGTATTTTCTTTCTGCTGGGTCTCCAAGATGTTGCCTTCATCTTGCACCTAACCAGGTATAATATAGCTTTATTTCTCCTTACCCAAACCATAATGTTTCCCCTTTAAAAACAACCTGTAGCAGTCTAAAGAAATATATGTAATCCGGTGCAGTTTGTCAACTGTTTTTTTCATTGCCCAGTAAGAAGATCATAGAGAGTGGATGGGACCAGCTTCTCATCTATATGTCACTTCAGACTGGTGTGGGCACATCCTTTATCCGGAGCACCTATCCCAACTTTGTTTTTCTTCCATCTCCGTGCAGAAAGTGCTGAGGAGTAGGCTGGTGGTGGCACCATATTTTGAAAGTGCCATGCTTTCCAAATTCTGTGCAGGAAGGCAGGACAGTGTGACTCTTTCAAAATCTGTATCCTCCATGTGCAATACAAGTTTTTTTTAAAAAAA